GTTTTCAAGTTCCGTCCAGATAAACTGCAAGGACCATTAGGCCGTCATGAAACATCCAAGAAATATGACAGGTGTTGATGTGCACCACTGCAGAAACTTTCATTAGGCCATCTTGGAACATCCAGGTCCTGGAAGCTAGAAAGAAAAATGATAATATTTCTTATAATTTTATACCGTAACATCGCACAGAAAGCATATTTTCTGATCGTATAAGATGACAAACCCATGCCAAGAAATATGACAGGTGTTGATGTGCACCACCGGCAGAAAGTGGACTTCAAGTCATACCAACCCTAAGATTTTAGATTTCTTCTCTTCAACAGAATAATTGGCAACGATAGGAGACTTATATTCAATAATCATTCCATACGTATACATCACGAGTGGACTTCAAGTCATACCACTTTTAACTGATCAAATAAGTGACAAAGAATTACACTTTTCCCCATAACAAAAATCTCAGTTTCTGTAATTCTGTTCCTTCAAGCTAGTAATTTGGCAGATATAGCAGCTTATTTCACCAGATTCTATAATAAGATAGTGGAACGTTCAACTCCCCTCTTGAATATGATCGAATATCGATCAGAGCAACTGAGAGACATGGTAAGAGTTCGATTCTGGCCATACAAGGTCAGCTAAGAGAACATTTTCTACAAGCTCTTGAACGCATGCAAAATCTAAGGACAAGTGCTACATTACAAACACTTGCAGGAAATAGCAAGAAAACAATTACCTGATGAAGATGTACACACAAATAATCAAAATCACAGTAGAAACAAGAAATCAGAAAGACGAGTTGGTATGGCATCTTACTACATCATATAACAGTAACCGTACAAAACCAGTAAGCCAAAATATTATCGTGAAAGAGATACTTGACTACAATTATGTCTTCTTTAGCATGGTGGTCACAGGTCATCAACACGTTCCAGTCACAGATGAATTAAGTTGAAGAGATAGAGACTCCTTGCCAACATTTAGTTAGACCTTGAGTAGACGAGTTAAAGTTTTAAGCAATAAAAGAATTTGTAAAATTTAAGCTCCATAATCGTCCAACACCTAACCAAAACCAAAATTTCAGATGTCTGTTTATTCCATGAGCAAAAACCAAAGTGAGAAAGAAAACGCCACATGACAGAGCTAATATTACTAGGGAGACAAACAAGAAATATCCAGACCCCAATTCTTCTATTAGAAGGAACTCGAAGCAGAATCCTTTGTAATTATAAAAAATTACAAAGGCCAAGCTTTTAGTTCAAATTTTGGGGAATGTAAATTTAAAATATTAGGTTTAGTGAGAAAAAAATGAAAAAGATACAGGGATAGCTAATATGCAAAGAAGAACAAATATGAACAAGAGATCCCTGTAACCAAAAAAAATACCCTTGAAATCGCAATTACTATTAGAAGTGTTTCCTCTCTCTCTCTCTCTCTCTCTCTCCGTGGAGGGGAGAAGATGATTCTTATACAAGACACATGTTAAACTATACTTTATCACATACTCCCTCCTTTTCTTTTGATATCCCCCCACTCAAAATGCGTTTCCAATTTAAAAATTCATTAGAGAAGAAGATGATTAATTCATAATAAACATGAGCATACCTGAATAATTTGCTAAATTAGAATCTCTCTTTCCACAGATTTGAATCTTTGCTAATATCCAACACAATAAAGTGTCAGTAATTTTCACAACCTGGAAAAACTGCAGCCAGTCTCCTAAATTTCGTGTACAAATTTTAATCTGGCAACCTAATTACAACTGATATAGCTCATTGGAGTTCTCAATTGAGTTCTTCAGAATCTTCTCGGCCTTTCTTTTCTTGTCATCCTTCTTATCGTCCCCTACAAACCAAGATGAAGAGTTCTTCACACCATTGTTTAGCGCCTTCAATTCTATCATGCTACTTACAGGCTTCTTTCCAGTCCCAATCTTAAACTGTACAGTGGATCGCCTGTTCAGAGAGAACTTTTCCTCAGAATCGTGCAAACTGTTCTTCATTGATTCAATAGCTGGAGCAAAAGTCTCCAGCACTGAGACATGGGTATCCACAAGACAGTTCTCCCTGGCAGGGACAGGATATTCTGTACTTGAATTGTTCAAGATCCTATCTGGAAGAACGACAGAAGAAACTTCCTTCTCACCAAATTGAAGGGGGGGAGCAAGAAATGGGTTACTTTCTTGTGTTTGTTTGGTCATAGCTGCATTTCTAGGGCCTTCTCTCCGGGATCCTTCCAATCCATTGCAAAACAACCCCTGCTGCAGATTCCATAACGACTTTTCTGCGCCCTTACATTGTTTTTCCGGCTCAGTTTTAATTTTTTGAGGCTCCACTACTTTTTCCTCCACAGTGGGGGACGCGATGTAAGTTTCGGGATCAGGAAGTGCAGGCAACCAAGAAGGTATATGCTTTCCAGGAGTTTCTTCCCCAATTTGCAAAAAAGTAGGCCTCAGCTTTCGCTCTTTGACAACTGGAAATTTGGGAACTGCGTATGCAAATGGTATTTCTTCCGCTTGAGCAACATAACGAGCAATCTCTTTAACTGTGCTGGAACTTGCGAGACAATGTTCAATATCCAAAGCACCTGCAAATCCTTGGACTGACCCCAAATCTTCCAGTGCTTGAATTATATCGAACACATTACACTCCGTTCTGCCAGCAAAATTAGCACAGAAGTTTGCAGTCTTTCCTATATTCTGAACATACCGAACCGCAATGTCAGCCAGTGTTTCAAGGGCAGACTGCTGAAAGGTTTGAAACCCCTCACTCTCACATATTTGAGCTATAGCAATCTTGGCAAGCGCCTGTGGGAAGTCTTCACCGCCCAAATTCTTTCTCGTCTTTGGTCGTTCATGCACTTTTCCACTCTCCCCACCTCCATCGTTCATATTCAAATATTCATATCACATTATCTGCCGCAAGGATAACAACCAAAAACACCACTCTGCACAATTACCCAAAACTCCACGTCATTCACCGATAAATTAAATTCCCTCCTTGAAATTCGCTCATAAGGAGAAAGATCAAAAAAATCAAACTAAGAACAAGAAATCCCCCACATACTTCACTATCTCTCGTAATCAGACTTTAACGACAAACTAAAAATAGAAAATCATACGCAGACGGAGAGAAAATACAAATTTGAGTAAATCAAAGCATTACACAAGGACAAACAAAAGCAATCCGAAGCTCAAAAGTTTCGCATCTGAGAAAACCCTAATCCATCTGACATGGAACTAAGAAGAAAATTCGTTCATAAAAACCCACAACTCAAACAAACTAAAAGGATCTTCAGCTCATGTACCATTAATTGCAAGGGCTCCCGGATAGATTTGAGATTGAATTAACAATGACTTGCCAAGTCATAAATCTGGAAAAAGAATGCGATCAAGTACCCAATTGAACGCGAACGAAGCCCTAGATCGCAGAGATGGAGGCTAGAATTACAGAATTGGCTGATTAAATTATGTACAGTAGGATTGCGGAAATCAGTGGGTAGAAATCTAAAACCCAAGCAAAACCCTGAGATCCAGAGAACGTCGAGAGAGATGGGAGGGAAGAAAGTTGGAACTTTAAGAGAACCGGGTAAGCAGTTAAATAGGCAACAAATGGGGCTGGAGATTATAAATTGTTTTTTTTTTAATGTACCCTCTCATCACTTGACACCTGTCCCTATATTTTTTTTTTAAACATTGAAAATTTCACAAATTAATTAAATTTAATCTTTGAATTATTGCCATTTATTAATAATATTTAGACAAATTAGATGTTGAAATTCATTATACTTTTTCAACGAGTTTGTATCTTCCATAACTAAAATTAATTTCTTTTTTTTATGTTGAAATTCTTTTTTGTTTATGTGTTTTTTCTTAGTTTAATAAATGATGATATAATTTTATAAATGGCTTCAGTTAATAAATGTAATATATACTTAATAAAAAATAATTTATATCATTTATGAGATTTGATCACCATAAATATAAATTAAATTGTTTTGAATAAAAGTTTCTTCACTAAATTGTTACGAAAAATTCTGAGACATAATTATTGATTAGAGTGTATATGGGAGAAAGGTTCAAAAAATTTAAACTCAAATCTAAAGAATCAATCCTATCTTGTTAAGCAATGACTAAATCTATAACCGTTCGAGACCATTGCTAATAGATATTATCCGTTTTGACCTGTTATATATTGTCGTCAGTCTCATGATTTCAAAACGCGCCTATTAGGAAGAGATTTTCACATGCTTATAAGGAATGTTTCGTTCTCCTATCCAATCGATGTGGGATCTCATAATCCACCCCCTGAGGGCCTAGTGTTCTCGCTGGCACACTGCTCGATGTCTAGCTCTAATACCATTTCTTACATATCGTCGTTAGTTTCACATTTTTAAAATATGCCTACTAGGGAGAGGTTTCCACTCTTTTATAAGAAACGTTTTGTTCCTCTACCCAATCGATATGGGATCTCAAAATTCACCCCCTTAAGAACTCACACCGCTCAATGTCTGGCTCTGATATCATTTATAACCGCCTGAGACCACCACTAGTAGATATTGTTTACTTTAGCCCATTACGTATCACCGTCAGTCTCACGATTTTAAAATGTGTCTATTAGGGAGAGGTTTTCATGCCCTTATGAGGAACGCTTTGTACCCTTTCCCAGTCGATGTGAGATCTCACAATCCATCCCCCGGGACCCACACCGCTCAATGCCTGGCCTTAATACCATTTGTAACAACCTGAGACCACCGCTAGTAGATATTGTTCGCTTTGACTCGTTACGTATTGTCATTAAGTCTTACAGTTTTAAAACCCATCTATTAGAGAGAGCTTTTTACCCCCTTATAAGAAATGTTTCGTTTCCCTCTCCAAATTGGAGTGGAATCTCATTTTCACAGGAAGAGGTTTGGATTATTTTGATGAACTAAGTTACTGTAGTGTGTTGATCAAACACCATCGCAAAGATTTCACTATTCGAATGCTGCTTCAGATGAAGAACTTGAAAAAAAAACAAAAAAAAAAAAGTTTATTACAGTGATAACTGATTCCCCTTCTGTAGGATCAGTCCATGTTCTTCCCATTTGAGAGAACTAATTAGCTATGGTGTAAAGTTAGCATCTCCTGCTGAAGCTTCTCTGAGCTGAATAGGACGAGATGTGAGTAGAACAAGTAGTAGATTTGTCGTCGTCGTCGTCGTCATCACCGACATCGACACCAAGAGAGGCAGGAAAACCAACCCGAACCGAAATTCATAGTCCGAGACGATGAGGTAGTTTCATTAGATGCAGATTGATGCTCCAGCGATTGCAGCTTCGTCGATTTCGTTCCTGGCTGGTGTTGTTTTTGTTGAGTACATGAGTCTGTTGAGACGGATCTGTTTGATTTTGGCGTTGCACCTTCACCTCCCAATCTGATCAAACAAAAAGCACAGAATTCATAGCCACAATGTCTCAGTTTCAGCTTCAGATTTCAAGTACTATGTCTATGATGTAGGATTACTCACAGAGGGAACTGAAATGAACGAGAGCTGTTCATGCTGTCGTTCGATTCGCTCGGGCGGCTTCGATGATCATCCACAGATATTATGATTTCTTTTCTACGATTTGTTACACTCTGAGTCGAGATGGCTGGAATTTGAGCTCCAGTTGATGCTGCCTGTTCAGGGAAGACATTCACCACGATTTCAGTTTTACTCTCCCCTCTTGCTGGATCAACAAAAGGAGGCGAGGAGGATAGATTCTGGGGTGAATTAGTGTTATTCGTCAATTCTCCAGACTTGGTATAAAAATTGAACTGCTCCCTTGAGAAGCTGTTGTTTCCCACATGAATGCTGAACAATGATTCATTTGAAGCTGTGCTCCATTCCATAGGACTTGATGGTTTACTAGAGAAGATCGACAACGGTATTCGGTTTGGATCATGGTTCTCGAGCACCCCGGATAGTTGAATCTGAGGAGAACCTCTAGATGAACTCTGGATTCTAGTAGACTCAGCATCTAGTTTTGGCTGAAGAGGAGAATCAATTTGGAAAATGCTGCTAACAGCCGAGTCTCGTGACAAATCCGAGGTAGGGGAAGAATTGGAGTGGCTACGTTCATGGATAAAACCATCTGGTTCATTATGGATCATCTCTAACTGCACCTTAGATAGCTCAAAACTCTTTGAACAATCCATATCGTCCACAATGTATTAACCAAAATCCTGCCAAGTATTCCTTACTACAAAGCTGCACAAACAGAGATATGAATGGAAGATTCGGTAGAAACATAACTAAATCAATCATAAGATCATCATTCTTCAGCTTATTCATTTTTTACCCTAAACCTAGAAATTCAGACATGAGATTTAACTTTCGACATTTTAATCCATTGAAACTTTTCAATTTCTTCAACTGAATCCATACAAATCAATTATATATTCATACTCATGACCGAGAACAGATGCAAATATAGACAAATATAGAACATCCACATTATTGCAAATCAAGCAATTAAGCTGGCTAAACTACGAGTCCAAACACGAAAAGCACAGAGGAAAATGAATGATCGTCTTAATCAACGAAACTCACAGATAATCTTCGAGACGGATCCAATTGTCGGCTACAATGAAGCACCCAGTCGCTTTAATCTAAAATGCCCCATTTTCTGAAACAAGACGAACAGACGAAACCTAGAAATGGCAAGGAGTTAACGAGACGAGGAGTTGAAGAACAGGGAAGGAGAGAGGAAAAACCAGTAGGGTTTTGGTAAATGAAGGAGAGATGGAAAAGAGATGGAGAAGAGAAGATTTCGGAATGGTGTCTGCTGCAATCGGTTTATGTGATAACTAATCCCTGCAGAAAAGGCAGTTACTTTAACGCGCGAATGCAACGCCAGTGCGAAATTGAGCTGCGCTGACCCGATCTGATACTATTAGCCATCTTCATTTAACCAATTATTTTTTTAACGGAACATAACCAAAGAGTTTTTTAGTTGCCTACATTACTCGTCTCCGGTTTCTCTCTCTCACTCGTTTTATATTAAGTTGGAGATGGGGACGAATTATTTTTTTATAAAAGTGTGGAAACATCTCTTTAGCATGCGCGTTTTGAAATTGTGAGGCTGGTGACGATGTGCAACGGACACTGTTACAAACGGTGTCAGAGTTAGATGTCGGGCGGTGTACCAACGAGGACATTAGGTCTCTAAGGGAGATGAATTGTGAGATCTCACATTGATTAGAGAGAGGAACTAAACATTCTTATAAAATGTGTGAAAATCTCTCCCTAAAAGACACGTTTTTAAAACCGTGAGACTAACAACGATATCTAATTGGTCAAAATTGACAATATCGACTAACTATTATGAACAAACACATAAATGATCAATGATTTGAGTGGTTTATTGCTTGTAAATCTATAAGTTCGAAAGGAGTGGTGAATTACGAGAAATAAATTAGTAATTTAATAAGATATTAATATAAAATTAAAAAATTTATTAAAGAAGTATAAATTAATTTAAGATGATTCAAGTAGTCTAATAAAGTTAAATTTTGTAGACCGAATTATTGAAAATTGATAACAGAAAACAGTAGGGCCAAATTTGTAATTTTGTGAAAAAAGAAACAAACGAAAGGGCAAAAAGGACATTCATGCCATACCCGTCCTTGAAAGACACGTGGAGATCTTGGCGGTAATAAAAAACTGACAACTCGCTTTTTAACCATGCTATTTGACTTTTCTGCCCCCATTCCCACGTTCGAAACCGAAAGTGACCATAACTCCCATTCCCTTTTTTAACTATCCTTTTCTTTTTAGTTCTTTTTAAATTGATTTGTCCCCTCTTTAAAAAATATATATATATATATAAACCATTTCATAACATAAATTTATATATTTTTAAATAATATCTGAATTTAAGTTGGATTTTGTCTGTAATATTTTTATAAAAATTTAAACTCTTTAGTATATTTAAAAATATATTACTAAATTTGAGAAATTTTAGATAAAAAAATGAAATTTATATTTCTTTCTAAATATATTTTAAATTTTATAGGACATATTATGATTTTTTTGCCTTTTATTCTCTCTTTTCTCCCTACTTTTTCTATACTTTTCTTTATAATATTCTTTTCTGTTTTAAAAAGTTGCATTGCCACAGCAGAAACCAAATTAGGCTTGAGGTAAAAAAAATTGTTGTTTTTATCAATATTCATTTAATTTGAATTTAAAATCAATTTATTTTGGCAATATTGTGGGAATTTGATTATTATAAAAATGATTTGAATAAAACTCATGCAAATATTAAAAAAAATATATATAATTTCATCCCACTAATTGTATAATTTTTTTTAAAAAAAAAATTATAATTGATGAGTTGGATTATAATATATAAAATTTTATTTTAAATAATCGTTATAACAATTTTAATCTAAAATATATATATATATATATATATATATATATATATATATATATATATATATGGAAGAAATTTTTTATCATATACTTTATATATTCTTATTTGAAATTTAAAATTTAATTTCAACGTTGTTGTTATTATTATTATTTAAATTGAGAAATTAAGTTGAAAATATGTTTTAAAATTAGGCTCTATAAGTTGTTTTTTTATCTACTAAACTAATTGGTTGATGGCGTTATTGAAATATTAAAAAAATAATTAATTTAAAAATTATAGGATTAAATCTAGATTATTGTAGAAATATGTTGTATTTTTAAACGAAAAAAGAAAAAGAAAAAAGGAAAAAGGTTGCTTGTGTTGACTTGACTGACCGTGATGTACAAATCATAAAAATCAACGGCTATGATCTAAGGCGAAACTTGAGCACGCCCTAAGCTGGTTCCGGGTGTCCGAGGCTAGATTCGAACCCGTAGCTACGCTTTCCACCCGAATTTACTGAAAACATAATGCTAATTAAACATTATTTAATTCCTTATTTACCGTTTTCATCGCTTTATCTTCGGCTCTGATGTCTGAAGAGTCCAGTTTCTCACTCTTTCTGCACCACTTTTAAGCGAAATTTTTAGAGAGAGAGCGCGCGAATTTTCAGTGAGAAAAAGCTCAGAGATACAGAGAGGAATTGGAGAGAAAAAGAGAGTTCGGGACATTTGAAACAGTTGTTGATTTCGAAGCTAGAAGAAGAATTGCAATTTCATCTCAAAGCGTGGAAAGAGAGAGAGGCGAGAAAGTACAGGGCCTTCAATTCTGCAATTACAACACTCATACAAGAACAGCAATACTACAGCTTCCAGGCTCTCGAGAATTCATAATTCTGTTGCTCAGATCACACCTTCCAGCTTGCCACTGTGCTCCTTTGCTCCTTAACCTTGTGGGTTTTTGTTTAATTCTGATTTTTTCCTCCTCATCTTGTTTCCTACTTCGTTGCTAATTGTGAACAGTATGTGGTTCCTCTTTGAAATCAGCAAACGAATAGTTCTTCTTTGTTGGCGGCTTTTGATTCTGTTGACTTATTGGGGGTTTAGGATGTTCGTTAGGAGAGATACGCAGCGATTTTAGGGTTCTGAGCTTAATTTCCGGGTCTTTGTTTCAAAACAATTTGGATTTGTCTGGTTAATTTATAGTTCATCGGAATTCTTGGCAATTCGTGTTTTGTTCTCTCTGCAAGTGGTCTTCATGTTAGCTTATTTTTATTTTTTGGTTAAAACTATGGAGTCCTGTTAACTTTGTGCTGTTCATATGCAATTTTCACTACGTGGTTGCTTGTCCTATCTCATTTTGAATTTTCTGCGACTTGAATTGGTTCAGGACGCTTCTCAAATGGAATTTAACCTTCCATCATGTCCGGGTCAAGTTTCTTACATGTATGATTATTTTATTGTAATCTTATAATGAATTTTTCTCTACTTGTTTGGTGTTAGGACTGCGACGCATTTGGTGGCTGTAGCTTTATGTATTCATGGTTATGAAGTAGAAGACAGTAACAGGACTCTGGATAATAAAAATTAGATAGCACCGGCTTGAATGGCGATCTGTTTATGTTTATTTGAGATCATTATGTTAGAAAACCGCATGTGATCATCCAAGTTTCGATGCGAAAAAACTGTAACATTACTCTACAAGGTACACCAATGTTTTCTACCTTGATCTTGATAGTTCAAATTGCATAAATCTTTCTTGTCGTTGCTCCTTAGTGATCCATTATAGATGCCAGGTGACATTAGCATATTTGAAACAACCATATTTGGTTGCTTTGACCACAAAAGGTTTTGATTTGCAGATTCTGTGGGAGGATACCAGAGAAAAGATTTTGCTGTGTCGTTAGGCAGAAACTTTTCACCACTGGCTTCAAGACCTGGTTTTTGCAGTGATACCTTGGAAAGCCAACCACTGGATACAAATGGCTATATGTTTGGAGGGCAAAATTTTCAAACAGAGCACTCCCAGCAAGCATTCTTGGGTGAAAATACTGTCTATGATCCACATTTCTTGATGCTGAGAGGCTTATCTGTTCTAAAATCACATCAAGAATATGCACCAGTAGACAGTCCAACCCTGACTGCTAATTCTGAGAGATCTGAAATTACTGAAGTGTCAACTGACTTCAACTTTCTTGGAGGATCGCAACAGCTTGTGAGGGGTCAACAACAGCTAGATACTTCACAACTCCAACCAATGCAACAGTCTAAATATAATGACATGCAGTTACTGCAGCAGCAAATGATGTTCAAGCAGATGCAAGATATTCATAGGCATCAGCAATTTCAGCAATTTGATGATGCAAGGCAGCAGGGTTCTCAAAATCAGATCTCTGCTTTTGCTAGACAGTCTACAGGGGGTCAATATCCGTCCTATATTAATGGAACATCTGTCTCTGATTCATCGGAAATGCTCATGAATAGGGCACATCTAGGTGCATCTTCTGCAGCGCAAGGAGTATATAACCAACTAATGTTTTCTCAGGAGAAAGGTCCATCCTTGCATTCAACATTGTTGGTTCCGCAGCAGCTTGATGAATCTAATTATAGAACTCCTATTTCCAGTGGACGGGGACACATGGGTCAATATTCTCAGCTCCAGGGAATAGATCATGATCCTTGTAATTTGATGAATATGGCTCCTGGTAATTGCATGATGCCTACTATACAGCCTGTAGCCTTCAGTGACTCTTCTATTAGTAATATAAATACTGTTTCTGCAGAACATTTTCCCTTGACCCAAATGGGTAGATCCAAACAAGGCTTTCAAGCGAAAAGTCTATTTGACCAAACTCCAGTTCAAGGTTTGGATGCTGGAATGAGATCAGGTAACATCCAGCTAAAGAATTCTTTGCAAACAAATGGATCGTTTCATGAATTTCAAGAGGGGCAAGATGGAGCTGGTTGGCTTGGCGCCACACAGCAAAAAGTCACCCAATTGGATGTATCTCAGTATTTTGTTCCCCTGGATCCGATTGAACAAAATTTCTTATATAATATGGATCATAATTTGTGGGACAGTTCTTTGGGAAAATGTACAAATGTCAATAATGAAAGTTTTGAAACTAACCTAGTACAGTCGGATTGTTCAAATGCATTTCCTTCTATTCAGAGTGGGAGCTGGAGTGCTCTCATGCAATCAGCTGTAGCAGAGGCTTCTAGTAGTGATACTGGGATACAGGAGGAATGGAGTGGATTGACTTGTCAGAATACAGAACTGTCAACTGAAAATCAGCATTCGAACATAGTGGATAGTAAAAAGGAGCAATCGGCTTGGTACGAGAACAGCATGCACAGTGCATCTTCTTTAAGTTCAAGGCCATATGCAAACTTCAATGATTCTGGTATGAGTTCTAGATTTCCTGGATTTCAGCAATCAGGCAACCAACCCTCTCTTGAGCATACAGAGCA